TGTTCTAGAGGCTAAAGTTAATGTCCGATTGAATTGAAATTTATACACACTTTTTAAGGTCGTGAGACGAAGGATCCTATTGATTTTCAACGATTTCCCATAATTACTGACAGAGGAATGGCCCTTAATCACTTTGAAAAATCTTGTGGGCGCTCTAGAGGCTAAAGTTAAATGAGCTAAATCGGTAACATTCTTGACCTAGAAATTGACACAAATAGGTCGCAATGCATATAATAATGTAATATGAGTGTATATAATCTGATTTACATTCAATTGTTTCTGTTTTTACTCAGATTTCAAATCAATTATGTTCCGCGAAATACGCCAGAAGTCTCAATCGAATGGTCATCTCTAGCGTCTGGTTATTCCAGTCTACATCAATAGTATTTATTGCGCATGCTTTCCAGATAAGAATATGAGGTCAGTCTTTGACATGACTTGGGGAATATGCCTAGCCTCATTCTTCGAGTCCCTTGTTACAAATGGCGCTAAAACGCATTATTGTACACGCTTCGTGTACCAATGGTAAAATGTTTATTTTGTCTTAAATATTGGATTTCAGAAGCCCATCTTTTCCCGGTAAGATCACAACACCAATGTTGATTTAAATTGACAAATAATTCATGTTTTCAATGTCAAAGACTTTGGATGATATAGAGTTAAAGACTTTATAACTACTTTATTATAAATTTATACACAATGTTTATGGTCATGAGACAAACAATCAAAACAGATTCTAATGATTTCTGATGACTTAATGGGTCGTTACTCGTACACAATTTATCATGTGTTATAAATGTTTTCATTACTGACAGCTGTGGGGGTATGTTTCGTTAGCTGGCAAAATATCATTATCTAAATATAAGCTACTGATTTACCATTTGTGATATCATATGATCATCAAATTGGTACCATTGCCCAATTGGTGCTGACATGCCATTAATCCACATTTCATTCATTCATTCAGCTTGGTTTTTTCTGCCATCCAAAATGTGATGTCATATCTTACCTTTATTTTAAAAAGTAACCAAAGTTGAAATAAGTATTCAGAGTCAATCATAAAATAAGCAAATGTAGGATATTCCCTTAAACAAGCTTAAAGTCTCCTTTACTCTGCAGGGTGGTCCTGTTCGAGTAGTAGGGCACTCACCTCCCGATGTAGAATGGCAGTTGAAATTCAAAAGAAAAGTAGGCAGAAACCCTGCTGTCAGGACCCAATTTTTGCATGGCATATCACTGATATGAGAATTATTATGTTGGTCTCAAAATGACCAAGGTATTGTATTGAGATGTTAAACCCCATTCCGTGCTTTGTGTTTATTGTTCTATAAAGTGAAAGGAAGATCTGGAAAGTTTTTAATGTGTAAGTAAGTTACTTTATCGCTTGAAAAGAACTGCGCAATAAGTGGGTGATTTCATGTTGATTTATGATTAAATGAGACTAGCTCAGCCCTTTTATTGTTAATTATTGATAGTTGTACGTCATTAATTAAGGAAAATGTATGACTTCTTTAATTAATTTTCAAGGGAAATCGATTTGTTTTGCTTGTAGAGATCGTGAAGTGACTAATTAGTAATATTACATTACTTACACACCTGCATTATTACATCTTCTTATATTTAATGAATACAGCAGGTTGTCCAAAAGTTCACTGTAACCAAGATATTATTTAATCTTGTGTATTTAGCACTAATTTCTTTCACATTCATTCAATATCAAATCTTTGTAAAAATCATTTAAAATCACCAAAATATCATCTAATTTGTACTTATGTCCAGTTTAAAGCTGACCATTCCATTTTGATAATGAGTGTCCCATTTACAAGAGTTTAATTTCTCGATCACTGTAAAAAAATAAACAAACCAACCGATTATTGTTTTATAATGATTAATTTTTGAACAGTGGTCAGGAAATTAAATACTTGTAAATTGGACACTCATTATCTAAATTGATCAATCAGTCAGCTTTAAATTGGACACCACTACAAATTAGATGATTTGGGGTGATTTTAAAATGATTTTTATGAATTTTTAAACGAAAGATCTGATATTAAACGAATGTGAAAGAAATTAGTGCTAAATACACAAGATTAAATGATACCCAGGTTACAGTGTTTAGTCCTTTCCGATCCCAGTACTACTTTCTTTGGCTATTAGAGGTAATGTGTGAGCTTTATATCATAAGATCTGTCATTGAGTCAAAAGGTGTTGCTTTTCTCTAGGTTATCCGGTGTCCTCCCATTGCTAAATACCCCCTATGTGCAAGCGAATTATTGAAATAGAATTGAATCAAATGTTAGTCCCAAAATGACCTAGTATGTGTCGAGTGGACATTAAACCCTCTCCCTCCCTATTTTAATTTAGAGTCCAGGTTTTTTCTACAGATCACCACTGGATGTCCTCACTTTTGCTTGGCTTGTAGGCTACACATACTTCTGCCCGAACTTGATGGATTCACCTATGTTTTTTTCTAGTTTGTTCTTTATTATATATACTGCTATCTTTCAAACCGGGAGCCAGGCTTTTCAAAAATGTAAACAGTCGCAATCTTTTGATACTACGGTCTACCACCAATTTGTGTCCAGATTTCAATATATCTATTCTATATTTAGTAACTAATGCAAATTTTTGTTTCAATAAAAAATCATACACAAGGTTCATATCTCTTTTAGTCTTGGACAAATAAGGGATATGGGTAAAGAATCAAGTATATAATCTGTGTAAAAACAATGGTCATCCTTTCTTTTATCAACAGCATGAGCAGGACTTCAAGGTGAATCTGATATAAAAAGCATATTGCATATGTATATGGACTGGACATATGCTAATGAGGTCTGATTAGTGTAGTATGATTAAATGATTGGGGCCACTTTTTCATTTGTGGGGAACAATTACTGGTTTATTATATAAGCACCATATCAATAAGTCTCCTCTTTACTTTACTGAACTTTTTCATTATAGATGTGTGTTGATAAGTATTTGATTAACATGTATCATGAATCATAATCATTTTATATGTAAGAAACATCTGTCAGTATATAAAATAATATTTTATTTGACTGCAGTCTGTTCTAATCAGACAGTCTGCTGGGTATAAAAGGACACCAGGTGGCACTACAGCACAATCTTAACCCTCATTTAAAGTCGGCATTTACAAAGATATGATTAAATAAAAATTTTGCAACACTTGGCATCGTCTGCAGATGATAAAAATCCTGATATGATCAAAACGGAAGTAAATCAAAATTTACTTTAGTCTCAAAACGAACAAAAATATGGTCAAAATCTATCTAAATATTTACAACTGAATCCTTATGAAATTATCATTGTTTTTGATATTTCTTTTTCATGGTTGTTTTAAGCTTAACCAATCTGTGGTTGTTTTGACTAAAAGTTATGTCCATTTTGACTAAATTTTGGCCATAACTCTTATAAACAAGTTTTGCTGAAATCATTTGATGAGCCTCTTTTTTGAATCTAATTGAATCCAAGCCGGGAGATTATCTACTGTTGATATTTTTATTTTTGTTCTTAAGTGAACATTAAATAATCAGTTTGGTACATTTTAGCATGGATTAAGTAATGTGATGGAAAATCTGATATTTTCTTCAAACAAATTAAAAAAAATAATAATGCAAATGACACGTAGAAGGTAACTGAAATCTGGGAGTGTCCCTTTAACTTAAAGTAAGTAGAAAGGGTGGATATTTGAGCTTGTAAACTGAGATATAACCAAATAAAACTAACAGTAACACACTCCTTTTTTATAATGAAACAACTCAATGTAAAAGTTTGAACACACCTTGTTGCTGTTACTACCTCCCACTGCAGATTTCATCATATATGTAGGTCGTGAGAATGTAAATAGCATTTTTTTTAATAATATTGTGGGTTAGGGCTAGGGTTAGTTCTAGCCCTGTTTACATCTTGTGACCTACGACCAAATCTGCAGTGGGGCTTAACTTTAGACCTTATCATACAATATAGGCTACATCATATAATTGAAAGCTTTATAGCAGAAATGCTGTTTGTTTTAATTAAAAATTATAAGATTGTCAATCGCATATCTAGCGTTATGTACTTTACATATATAGTTTTGAAAATCTAATGATTAGAAAATTATTACCTGTAATATGTACGATATTTAAATTATAGCCACATTTATTGACCAGTTTTAATTTCCTTTATGATGTCACACTGCAGTTTTGTATAATATCAGTTTGATGGTTCAATAAATGCTCTGATTAAGTTTCGAAAAAGCATTAGATAATTGATGTGCAATTGATAATTTAGTTATATTAATAATTGATCATATCATAGACATAACATGTACTGGTACTAATCGAACCAGCTGTAAAACATAATTTAGATCGCGACATTGTACCTCATGGTGATTTGTTGGTAATTGCTAAGGATTTGACTATTGAATTTGGTGTTGGTCAAATGTACCATTTCACTATTTATCTAAGCGATACTTAGATTTTTTTGGTAATAAGCTTACTGAAAATATTGTGATATATTGATTTAAACCCTTTATTTGTAATGTATATAAGTTTTAGAAAAATGATGCTCCATATAGCCTACATTACTAGATGACACTACCATCTGTTTACTTTAGAATAAAGAGAAAGTGATTAGAAAATGGATTTAATTAACCTTAATGAGTTTTTGTTATTAACACATGATGTAGTGCTATGTAAAACTGTTGTAGTATACTATGTATAATAGATCAGTCAATAAGTACTAATAATAGATAGACTAATAACAATAGATTATAGTCAGATGATACAGAGGTCTATTAACAACTCAAGATATGGTTGACATAATCAGGTATTGACGATTCCAAACTGTTAGTCATTCTCCCATAGTGCTTTCTTGTGTATAGGTTAATGCACCAGTATGGGATGGTATAATCAGTATATACGATCAGTTATTTAGTTGATGTGGCATAAGGGCAGGGTAACATTAGATTTATAAATTGACTGGGTGTTGTGTAAGGATCATACTGTGCCATGAATAGATCTGATAGTAAGACTTGATTGTGTTGTTGATGTTTATATAGTTTTATAGTAAACAGTAGCTAGGTGTTTTGATGTGTCATCCGATCACATGGATATATTTATGGACTTAATATGATTTAATATACACGAGCCCATAGTTTGATTTGAGGAGATTTTGTTTTGGTGAAAGAACAAAACTAGATGTAATTTTTCAGATTGTCATTTTGTGGAAGTTTGATGTTTTGTTTACCAATGTTAAAAATATCTGAAATTATCAATGTGGAGATACAGGAAAATAAGTAAAACATGTCTGTAATGTTATCCAAACATGTTTTCATCTACCTTACACTAAATGAAATTTAGTTATTTTTTTTTATAGAAAACTAATAACATTTACATGAAATTTTCAAAGAACTGTTTTCAATGGGAGACAATACAAACATAGTAGTCATTATCTAGAGATGAAAAGGAAGATAAATGCCAAAGTGAATATATAACTAAATTATTTACCGACAAGAACTCAGTATGTAGACCTCCTCAAAGATAACCAGCTGAATTAATCATCAGTGATTTAATGGGGCAGTTGAATATTTATAAACTGTCAAGTCTATAGTTCGATTGGATTTATTGATCTGGGAATAAAATCAATCAGTTTTACACGTTGTTCATGAATTATGAATCACCTGTGATTAGAGGTTAATACATGGCGTAACTACAGTTGTGGGTTTTTTACTCAAAGATACAGGATGATCTCTTCTTTGACTATAAGGAACCTCTTAGTAAGTACTTTACGTTAATTTCATAACAGATCAAATAGTTTATTTTTGTTTTGCATGTTTAGTTAAGTAATGTTGAGTTGAAGCTGAATTTTTTTTTTTTTTTTACGCCCTACATATTTCTTCAGATATTTCAAATGCAATGAAACCTGGTTAATGAAGACAGGATGCTACAGAGAGTACTTTAATGATCCTGTCTTCATTAGCCTGTTTAATTAAGATTAGGAATGGCAACCATAGATTATGATACTGCAAAATGAAGTACTAAAGACATAGTCTGTAATAAATTTGTGTGATCATGTTGCAATCAATAAGTGTTTGTTTTGGATGTTCGCTTGTTGTTTTTTTACAGTGTCTGGGGGGTTGGATGTTTAGTACATGCGCGCTGTATCATAAGGTCTGTCATTGAGTCAACTGGCGTGGTTTCGGTTCCCCGGTTGTACGTGACAAGGAGTAGGGTCGCCTGCCCAACCTCATGGGTTTTCTCAGGGTCCTCCGGTTTCCTCCCACGGCTAAAGACTCCTACGCGAAAGCGAATTATTGAAATAAAATTGAACCATGTGTTAGTCCCGAAATGACCTAGTTTGTGTCGAGTGGACGTTAGACCCCATTTCTCTCACTATTTTTACAGTGTCTGCATATTACAACTGCAGTAATTCAACCTACAATAAATTCATTGAAGAGTTATATTGATTTGTCTTGACAAGTTTAAGCTTTTGAAATTGTATAACTACATGATACATGCATATATATATATTTGATATTCATTTGATTTATTGTGTTACAAAAAAATATGTTGACACACGAAGCGTCCAGGGGGTATACTTCAACAGTTTATTATAGGTTCATAACTAATCTTATTCAAGACTCTTATTAATGGTAGTGTTAGCGACTTATTACACGTGTATAAAAATATATTACCATAAATTATATTTTGATGTTTGTTGAGGTGTTCTAATGTGATAGGTCTTCTAAAGAAAATGTAATTTGTTTGTACTTAAATCTTAGGAGCAGAACAGTAGGACGTTAAACCCCATTTCATTTCATTTCATATGTACTTAAATCTGCAGACTTCCATTCAATATTGACATGAGGCAGGGTATGCTTTCTTTCAAGAACACTTGTAGAACACCTTATATCACTTTATCTTTATTGTAGTTTTGTAGGATATTATATTAGTGTATCATTAATTGTATGTAAAGAAGAGATTTCTGAGAATATTTAATTTTTCATGGCTAAATAACCACAAAGCTTAAAGATACATTATGGGAGATTAGATAATAAAGAGCTGACAGTTCTCGCTATAATAGTTAAAAACTAGATAATGTAATTTAATGTAAAGGTAATTTGTTGAAAATTTCAGTCAAATTGGTCCACTATGAACCGAGATATCAGCTTTGTAAATTTCCGCCCAGCCTCGTTCATCATTACTAAAGTTAGTATGTTAAAAAGCATAGTCTCGATTATCCATTGTTTTGATTTAATTATCAATGAGTGTTTGCAGCATATAGGATTCTAATCCAGTCAATATCGAAGGCTAGCCTTGACAACGAGAGTTGATTATGGTCTGGATAATTAATAATTTAGATAAGATTTCAGGCCTAAAGAAAGACCTGCGATAGGCAGATTTAGCTCTTGCATAATGCATGTTTAAATGTAAGCTTATTCAAATTGATAATTTAACATTTAGTTGAGGCCTAGATCTTGATTTGAGGATGAGAGCCACGGTGGCTCAGTGAGTAGGACATTGGCTAATTTGGCTCGCTAACCTGAAGGTCCCGTGTTTTATCCTTGTGTTGAATGGGAAAGTTCGTCAAAATTTTCCGGTGTGGTTCACCCTTGTCAGTGGTGCAGGACAGAGTGTCTGGCAAGGAATAACGTATATTCATTCAGATAGGATGAAAAACCAAGGCCCTATGTACACAATGGCATGCACGTAAAAGAACCATTGACAATGACAGTTGGAATTCAATGTAAGAGTAGGCAGTAGTGCACATTGCATGGCGTATGTCCATCTTCATGAGCCAAATCGGAGCAGAAATGTAGGACGTTAAACCCCATTTCATTTCATTTGAGGAATGTTTAATTCCATGCGAACTAGAGTATTGTGACGGTTGAATCTCTATAATGATACCAGTCCAAAAATGGTTCAATTCTGTTCCGTAATAACAAAAATGAATCATAAATTTGTCAGCGTTTGGTATCCACTGCAGACGATATAAGCGAGATATGTTAATTTTTTGATATGCCTCTTTTTAATCGATTGAACCCAAGCCAGGAAATTATTGAATATTGAATTAAATGTTGAATAATCAATTTGAGTACATTTTAGCATGCATTAAAAAAAATTAGAATATTTGAATGCCAAAAAGCAACTTTAAGTAAACTGTTTTTGGAATAATATTCCTTTAGAAATCCAACTTTTACAAAATCGTAGTTGGCAAGGGATTAACAATCCCTTAAGTAATTTTCAGAGACCTTTAAGAAAATAAAACCAAAATGCCAACAAAATGTACTACCCAAATTGATTATTTAACATTTAATGAAGAAGATAAAACGAAAATATCAACAGTAAATAATCTCCCTGGTTGTATTAAATAAGATTATAAAGCGGTCAAACACTATTTAATTAGGATGATGCTATATCCATTCTTGGAAGGAATACGAATGTTGCAAAATTTTCAATTCGTCCTACTTTTCTGCACCCATAGACCTACTGATGCCAGGCTCTTGCCATACAGTGTGCTATGAGGTTCATTTTGCCCTGACAGCGACACTATGACCTACTCTTGTTTCAAATTCGAACTGTCAAAGCTTTTTTATCTGCACGCCAATGAGTACCGGGACTCGGTTTTTCTTTCTATCCGAGCAAACAACTAGAAACTGTCCTTGCCGGACCCTCCGTCCTGCACAACTGACAAAGGGAAACTACACATGGAAATCCTGAGGAATTTTCTTGGCCAACACCAGGAGCAAATTCGTGACCTCTTGATTAGCAAGCCAGCATCTTATTCACTGAGTCATCGTGCTTTCCTATGTCATTGTAAATATTGAATTAAAGATACATTATGGGAGATTCAGTAACGAGTTGGCAGTTCTCACTATAATAATTAAAAACTAGATAACGTAAAGGCAATTTGCTGAAAATTTCATTCAAATTGATCCACTATGAACCAAGAACTAAGCGACTGAAATTCCCATAAGCCTCGGTCATCATTACTAAAGTCAGTATGATAAACAGCATAGTCTCGATTATCCATTTAATTGTTTAATCGAGAAGGAAAGTTATGCAGTAAATCGTCTTACAATCCACTAAAGATCGCAGGCTAGCGCTGCCATCTAGAGTTGATTATGGCCTGGATAGGTTAATTAATGTCTAATTAATAATTTAGATAACATTTCAAGCCTAAAGAAAGACCTGAAATAGGCAGATTTAGCTCTTGCATAATGTATGTTTAAATGTTGAATGGAATTGAAACTTTTTTGCATGCATTCAAAATCCCTCAAATGACTATCATCAGCTTTAAGAAATCGTGTTTCATTTTTAACATGTCTGGAATTAGGCTACCTGTCATTAGAATTTATGCTTTTGTCAGAATTGAATCTCTATCTTAATGCAAATGATCAACATGGTATATTTGATGTGTTTTTACCACATTTATTTCTATTATCAGTAGCTAATTGTTGAAGTAATTTTGAGTAAAAATTCCAGATGTTTTATTTCTCTCTGTATGTGGTCATTAATTATTGACTAACAGGAAGAAGTTATATAATGTAAACTAATTGTCTAGTACAACTGGTTAATGGCTTATATTGATTCTAAGGTCTTGTTATATTTACACATTTGTAAATTTATTTAGGTGACAAAATCAGAAACCATGGTAGTTAGCAACAAGATCAACTTGTTGCATTACTTATGGCAGTTGCATTACTTAGCCGAATGGCTAACACGTGCGTGTGGTTTCAATTCCCCACTTGTACGTGACAAGGAGTAGTGTCGCCTGTCCAACCTCATGGATTTTTCTGTGTCCCCTAGTTTCCTCCCACTCCTAAAGACCCCTAAGCGCAAGCAACTTATTGAAATAAAATTGAACCATATGTTAGTCCCGAAATGACCTAGTTTATGTCGCTCCTCCCAAAACCGTTTCGTTTGATGTTTAAAATTTAATGTTTCATCAACTCCCAACTAACAGATATTGTTTCTTTCTCAAAGTTCAATTATCAAACTTTTCCCTTTAGCCAATCTGATTAAAACACAGATCCTATTTCGTTTTGTTTTTTATAGTTCAAAATTTTGTTTTACTTGTCTTTACTACACTAGGATCTGAAAGAGTTGTTAATTAACCCACGTTCTGGATGATGTGAGGGATAAGCCAATGAAACGGTCTGTTACAGCGAGTCTTTTTCGTGAGTTGCACGGAAGTGTGGGTAACCCACTAGAAACATCAACGCTGATTGGTTAATCAAATGTCTGATGTTATAGGGTCAAAAGCTGCTCGTATGACCTCTGATGTGACCTCCCACTACAACTGGTAAGATCTTCATGCGGTAGAGGCCATCGAAAGTATAAAAAAAAAACCGAAACAAAATATAGATCTGTATTTTAATCAGATTGCCCTTCAGTTGGATTTAGCTGTATTTGGATTTGAAATTGAAGGTGATTAGTATCAGCTTAATCCTTTGAAAATTAGTCCTAGATTACCATATCAAATTTTCACGCTTCTTGATTTTGTTTGATCCTTCTGGTAATATTTTTATACGCCCACATTTTCATGTGGACGTATATTGTCGTCGCCCCTGTCCGTCCGTCCACCTCTACAGGTCACAATTCTTGTCCGATTTTGACGAAACTTGAAATATAGCTTTATCCCCAAAAAATCTTGGCTGCTTTCGATATTGGCATGTATCGGATCGAAACTTCATGGATTATGGCCCCTGTTTGTACGAAAAATCACGTTTTTAGCTTGTGGACCCTATAGAGGTCACAATTTTTATCCGATTTT